GTTCCAACACATAATAATAATTTTGGGAACTGAGGAGGATAGAAGTCCCTTACTTTGCATTTAGGGTCTCAGGTGAGGTGTAACAAACATTCAGATTAGAAGAACACTATATTCAAATTCGTTTGTCTGTTTCCATATATTATATCTTGTTATATATTATCCTCTCAAATAATCATATAGATTTTGAAACCAGAGAATGTGCTAATTACACAAGCAGTTTTTGTTCACCAATTACATTTTTTTGTGATTCACTTCCATTTTTTATTTCTATCCCAACCCCATAGCCATTAAAAGAGAGCAGAAGTTTAATATTTGCTATTTCGATTTGCACTCCCATTGAAACTTCTCTTACAGGTCCAAAATGCAGACTAAATATCAAGGGACTGTTTCCTTAAGGAAGTAGATCTAGCACCAAATAAGAAAGTGTGAAATGAATCGGATTAGATACATAGAAAAGAGGAGTTGAGGGAATTTCCGAAAAAAGAAAGAGTCTTAGAAAAATTAGGACTAAGCCATATGGAGTATGGGAGGAGATAGATTGGCTAACTAAGATCAGTCTAAAATCACCTCAGGAAATACTGCAAGTTCATCTTTTATTTATCTGCAAAAAACATCCACACAATCTGCACAATTAATGTCTATGAATTAAAAAATGCCTATGTTCCCTCCTATCTATAATTTTTGTGGTTAAATTTAAAATTTAATAGTTATTTAGAATTGTTTTTTGTAAGACAAATCTATCACTATATCACTGTATCACTGTTATCCCGTTGTTCATTGATTCACTCGAGCAGACACCAGTAATGTCTTATAACATTTCTATACACTCTTTTTTTCAATTTAGGACCTTAGAGTACTTTATTTACATACATTTCTCTTCTCTCTTTTTTTTCTCTCTTCTTAAATGAGAAGAGAAATGTATGTAAATAAAATACCCTGTAGTCTTCATTTGAAAGAAAGGGTATATAGAAACAAATCTCACAATTATCATTTTAACTTTCTTGAAGGTGAAAGTAGATTTTTAAAATATGTTACAGTATATATGTATAAATATATATATAATAGAACACCAAGTATTTACATTGACTGACAGATTGTGAACCAACAAGGTGACTCAGATGCCACAGAAAGGAGCCTATGATTAGATCAGAGGTCAAAGTGAACTGTGAGTGGGTGGATCTTATGACACCAATGGGGACTATTAACCTGGTTACCTCGGCAGCCAGAGTCCCTTAGGTAATGACAAATAAAAAAGATAATAGAGAAAAGGAGCAGCTTTAAGTTTGGTAGGGAATTCTCCACTATCATGCAACTTCTCTTTCAGTGCTTGTTTATGTTTTGAAAACATAAGCCCATGGAACCTGGTAATGAAACACAAAGTAATTAAGATGCCTATGAAATTAGCATTGAAATGCTCGAGATGAAGGTGTCTAAACTGTCTTTTTCATATCCCCTTCCAAGCCACAGAGTAGTTCTTGATCCTTTCCTCTCTTCTAAAATTGAGAATCATCAAAATGAGAGTGACAAACAAGTTAGACACCTGCTTTTCTCTGTGGGAACTGGTTTACCATCCTTCTCACTTCAGGGATCAATTCTCATGTAATGATTCTCAGACTGAAAATGTTCTAGGTGAAATTTTTAAAGTCTGTGTGACAGCAATATGCCACTGACCAAAAAGAGAGTCAAAGAAAGAAAAAATCCTGCTTTGAAAGCCAGAGTCTCCTTTAGCCAGTCATGAAGCTGCATGACTATCACTCTTCCTGGTGTTCAGCTGAACTGTCAATTGAGAGAAAATTGTTAATCTCTGAGATTCCATAAGTAACACATTTTTAAAGGAAGAGGTAGACAAAATTTAATCAGAATGATTCAAAAAAAGTAAGATATTATCCTTTTCCATGACCAGTCATACAGTACCGATATAGTATCTGAAATATCTTCTTTCTCAATCAAAAAGTCTGCAACAATTTGTATAATCTTATCAACATTTTTATTTTAACTCTGTGAGTTTATCCTAGTTCATAAAGGGCTGTTATCTGAGAGATGATAACCCACAAGTGGAATTTTCTTCTGGGATGTGGGGTCAAATAATTTTTCATTTAATAAATGTTAGTGCACTGCATGCAAGAAATACTTGGAGTCATATAACCACACATAATAAAAGGTAACTGGTAATCATATAACATTTTATCCCTCATTCAAACAGAAAAAAAAAGATATTACAAAAGAACAGAGTGTTTTCCTAAAGGAGAAGAAGCCACACAATTCCCCTCCCTGATCGTTTGGATGGGAGATGTTTGCTGAAAATAAAGGATCAAACGTGATAGCCTCTCAGTATCTAAATTTTAAACCATAAAGCCCAAAAATAGAGAGAGAGTATGGGGGAAATTGTCTGTCATAGAGTCAGGGGGAGAGTTGGGAAGGAGGGGGGGGGGGGACTACTGGGGACACTGGTGGTGGAAAACGTGCACCGGTGGAGGGATGGGTGTTCAATCATTGTATGACTGAAACTCACACATGAAAGCTTTGTAACTGTATCTCACAGTGATTCAATTAAAAAATGTTTTTAATTAAAAAAAAACTCTCCCTCCCTAACCAATAGCAAAGGTCTAATTGTGAGCACTTCAGAGTTTGGCACAGATTCATTTTTGTTTCTAATCTATCTGTGAAAATGACTCATTATATTTCTTGGAATTGGTATATTGATACGAATTTTATAATTCCAGCTATAAAAGTCCTTTCAGATAGTTGTCATTTTAAAAATATAAGTATTATTATAGGATACAGTAGTCAAGTGAAACAAATGCTTAAGCAATGCCTAAACATTACCTACCAAATTTATGTGAAATAACAAAACACACAGTAATATTTTTTAATAGTCAGACAAATCGGCTATTAGTGTGCTGGATTCCATGTAAATAAAGCAATCTGTTGATTACATTGCATTTTACCTTCTCTCCCTTTTTTTTAAACTTACCTTAATTTTCTAAGTTCAACTTGAGAGCAGTCTTAACTGTAAGAGATTTCCTGCTTAGAACTACCTCAGAGGAGACATTTGCTAAGTTAAAAATAAAGTTTTTAATTATCTAGATGTTATAGTGAGTCTTTATTAAATACTAATAGTTTGGTTGCTGTCTGTGCCTCTCTCAGAAAAACAAGTGGTGAGGAAAATGCAGCCACATGGGAAAATCAACGGTGCCCAAATTGGCCATTTGACAGTTTACTTGCTATGGTTTGGGAAAAATAAGGAAAAATTGTTCCCTAGGAAAATAAATTATGTCATCCTGATTGTTATCTTCATATTGGAGGATTTTCTTGCTGAAAAGTAATCAATATTGATTTAAAAAACTACAACCTGTACTACACATTATATATAGCTACCAGCTATCATATTTTCATCTCTTTCAAGGATTTACAGCTCTAAACTGGACCATATGCCAAAGTTCATCAAAATCCTCTTTATGGATTATCCAAACTTGGTAGAAAACATGATGTAATGCTAGTAAAATAATTCTGTTAGAAGCAGCTCACTCTTCACAAACTATCTTGCTTTAATTTATTCTATCTATGGACCCATTAGAATCATGAAGATTCAAGGTAGGTTTAATTTCAATAAGTTATGTACTTCAAGCAATATTGTCAACCAATTAGTTAAAATTGTGAAACTAATGGGTAAAATAGCTTTTCTTTGTACGTACATATTTCAACATACAACAGTAGTCCTTCACATTTTTAGGGAGAACAATAGCACTTTGACCAAATAATCTGCTCATTTATAATTTCTTCATGAAAGATACTTTTTAACACAGTAGATTAGAATAAATTATACACTCAGTGTCATAATTATTTTTATACATTTTATTACTGGTGGATACATTTCATAAATCTTCACTTCAGTCCCACCTATTTCATTACAGACCCTCAGCATCAAATCTTAAAAGATATAACAAGGGTGAGTTGACTTTCAAAAAGTAGCTGCATTTAGAAGGAGAAAGCTAAGTTTCCATGCATGTGAACTTCCATTATAGCTATTCACTTTAATAAATTTTCTAAAGAAAAAATATATGGCTTTGAGTTTCATAAAAGATTTTACTTTTTAAAATATATTCAAAGAGACAGTGACTTAATTGACAGCAGATGGCTGTCCACAAAGTACAACAAAAAACGATTTTGTGTACAATTACCAATTTCAAATCATTTTCTCTCAAACTAGCTTTCTTTGCCTCTTATGACTAGCTTCTACTGTCTAAAATTATTTAAATACTCTTCTAAACCACCCTTTAGAGACAGAGCAATAGTACAAGGGTTAGGTGTTAGCCTCTCATGTGGCAGCACAAAGTTTGATTCTCAGTATCCTTTATATCCCACCCCACATCACCCCAGCACTGCCAGGACTAATTCCTGAATGCAGAGCCAGGAGTAACCCCTAAACATTTCCAATGTGGCCCCAAAATATACAAACAAAAAACCCTTACAGCATACCTTTAAAAGATCTCCTTTAAATAAAGTTTAAAGTTCTTTGAAAATTGTTTTCTAAAGAATCTTGAAATTTACTTGGTAGCTTTAAATGCTTAGTACTAAATACTAGGGCTTAAACTATCACCTCAGCAGATCACACTCTTCATTATACACTTTTGAAAAATACACAGACTGTATAAGTGTGCTCATTAGCACATCAGGCAATGAAATAAAAGGGTATATTGGTTTTCAAATATTCATGTTTTTCAAGGGTGTTAAAATTTAAAATAAATCAAGTCAATCAAAGAACTCAAAAGATAAACTTGAGGCTAGAAAGACAGTACAGCAGGTAAGGTGCTTGACTTGTATACACCGAACCCAGATTGAATTCCTGGCATCCTATATGGTCTTACAACCACCAGCAGCAGTAATCCTTGAGGACAGAGACAGAAGTAACCACTGGCTATTGATAGATGTGACCCAAAGACAAACAAACAAACAAAAAAGGTAAACTTGAAAAAGAAAATAAATCAAAACAGGTTTACCTGTTGCTTGAACTGAGGAAAAGAAGTTGAGAGCCAAAAGCAGCCTGAAGATCATGTTTCTAGCGGTAACAGAGGTCTCTAACCCTTCTTCCCCGAAGAGCTCCACTGTGAGATGAACTGAAGGCACAACTGCCAAGCCCTGAATATCTGTCATCTGTGGCCACCACAGTCTTACTTCCCTCAGAGCACTCAAACCACAAGGAACGTAAAGGAACGTACCTACAGCGTTTCATACAGAGTATTAGATTGTTTTGATCACTTTCGACTTTTTGTAATCTTTTGAAGACAAATCTTTCCTCATCATTGTAGAAGACTGATGGTCACTCTATGATTTGCTCATGAGAAACTTTTTCTCTGGGAAGGTATCAGAACTGCAAAAATGGGTTCTTGAAACCCTGCAGGAGTTTAATTGTAGACAAGCAAGATGTTATAATGGAGAAATATAGTCACTTGTGGAGGGGAGATTTTGTTAACTAGACTATGCACAAAAGAAAATAAGAATTCTATTGGGTGTGTGAGAAATGTTTCTATCAGCATTGAAAAGAGACATAGATAATTAGTTATTGCACTTTGTGCATTGGATCTAGGCAGTTCTGGAAATTCAGCAATATTACTTAGTTTATGTCAAGTTTCCCCCAATTTATTTCTAGGAATTGTGCAAAACATAAACTTACTGCAAACACCTAGTTCATAGAGTAGCTGAAGGATGTTCCCTAAGTACAGGGAAAATCAAAAAACCTCATATGGGCTGGGTAGATAGCTCAAAGAATTAGAGCAAATGTGCTTGTGGGAGACATAAGCAACCCCAAGCATATGAGCTAGGAGTAACCCTGGAGTATTACTGGGTGTGACCAAAAATGGGCAACAAAAAAAAAATTACTTGTCCTTATAAAGGTAGTAAAGTTCCCAAAAGTCCCTTGAAATTTTATATTCTCACTTTTGCTCAAGGACTCACTCCAGGCTAAGAAGTATGAAAAGAGATTCTATAGCAAGATCCTGAAGGCCAGTAGCCAGGTTCTACAGGCCTTTCCAATGGTAAGGCTGTCCACTGAGGTCACTACATGGACAAGAATGGTCCTGTTTTCTTCATTGGAATATTTTTTAAATTTCCTTTCGTTATTTTTTTCTGAGTTCCTGATACCTAAGTTACTACTTTCAGAATTTAATTTTAATGTGTATTATTTAAAAATTAATCTGGGTTCTTTTATTTAATTTTGACTATAAAAGTAGGTTGTATCCCACAAAGAAAAATTAGAAAAAGATATACTTCTACCCTTTTTCGGCAGAGTGGGAGGGCAGGGCCTGCATGCAGTGGTGCTCAGAACTTACTCCTAGCTCTGCACTTCTGGCAGAGCTCAAAGGACCATATAAGGTGCCAACAACCCAACTTGGGTTGGCACTGTGCAAGGCAAATGGCCCACTGTACTATCTTTCTGGTTCTCATTTTTTACCTTTTTAATTGCTAGAAATATTCATCATAATTTACCCATGTCAATATTCTGGCCTATGCTCCTTCAAGTGGATTTATTAAGATATTTACATATTTAATAACAGGTTTTATTTCAGTTTTCAATCAATACTGTTATCAACTTCAGCTTGAAATTTTTCTCATGTCATTTAAGTTATAAACATTGACAATTGATAATAATGTTTATACTATAATAATCATCTCAAAGTGGTTTAATAATTTAAACCTTTTAAAAATTTGTATTGGATCATCATGAGTAACAAATTTATTCATGACTGAGTTTCATTATTTGATTTGCATTTACTTGATGATTAATGTGGCAGAGCACTTTTCATGTGCCTTTTGCCCATTTTTATTTCTTCTTTGAAGAAGTTTCTGTTCATCTCTTATGTTTTACTATCTTTGAATGTTGCAGTGAGCATCTTTAATGACCTAGTTATTGGTAGAAAAAGATTTCGTGCTTCTCCCTTTGATTGATAAATGACATATCACAAGTATTTCCCCTTCTGATAAAACACCTTTGTCCACATCTTCATTTTCTTACAAGTATGAACGTTTATTTGTCATCCCCCTGTACTGACTCATCTTTCTGTTCTTGAATTAATTTGTCATTTAATATGATTACTCACACTTCTGAAAAGGTAAGTGATAAATTTATGCCCTTAGTCCTAGAAAAGAACTGGACTCAGCATTTCTGGTTCCAACCTTTCATCCAGTTATAGGAACCAGCATATAATCCAGTGCCTGGTGTCTCTGTACAGAGATAACTTAGAGAGGGACAATGTAAAGAGGTTAAGTGCCTTCTCTAAACTTTATCCCTCTTCTGGAGCCACAAGACTACCCAGATCAAGAACCAAAGAAGCTAAAACCCTCTACCGATAATAGCACTGTTGCCCTGTAGCACTGCCCTCCCCTTGTTCATCTATTTGCTCGAGGGGGCCCAGTAACATCAAGAGACTTATTGTTACTGTGTTTGGCATATCGAATACATCGCAGGTAGCTGGCCAGGCTCTGCCGTGGAGGGGGGATACTCTCAGTAGCTTGCCGGGTTCTCCTAGAGGGGGAGAGGAATCAAACTTGGGTCAGCCTACTGGCCGCGTGCAAGGCAAACACCCTACCCACTGTGCTATCACACTTACTGATAATAAGTATATAGAAACAAAGGATCCCCTTAAAATTTTCTATGATTGGCAAGAAAGGGCTGAATACTAGGGTAATAATTACTCCAAGTATATTTATATGGATATCAGTACTGTATAATGTTCAAAATATATGAATGGTAATTATTGTAATGCATGGACTTGTGGTACTTGGAGGCTCCAAAATCAACCCAGAAGTCCTTCAGGGACCACCAAGAACATACTTAGCAGTACTTTGGAGATCATGCATACTGAGGATCAACCTCAGGGCCTCACATATACTAGGAATGTGCTCTAACACTTGAGCTTTATCCCCAAAGCTGCCTTTCTTTTTAAAAGAACAAAAACATATCATACTAAATATGCATACTAATTATTAGCACCCCTTCACATTTGTTCTGGAAACCCCAAGGCATTTACACATACTTTGAAATAGAAATATTGGAGATGAAATTGAAGGACTTCCAGTTCATCATGTGCACAGAATACTGAGACTACTACATGTCCCATAATAGTAATTTCCAATATTAATGGTTAAAAGCATGCACTTTGCATTCCTGACCTCATTCAATACTCGCACAACCACTAAAGTTACTATTCTTTCTCCTACTTTACAGGTAAGAGAATTGACCTAAGAGAGGGTTAAGAAGTCAAAGGGCTAGAGTATGTGTGACTTGCATGTAGGAGGCCTAGATTAAATCCCCAATTCCCCCAAATCCTCAGGCACCAAGCAGTAAGTAGTCCCAAATTCTGCCAGGTATGTACCAAAAACCAAAATACAAAAAGAAAAACTCTGAGAAATCAGTGGAACCAAGATTAAAACCAAGAACTTTCTTATTTCAACTGCTACTTCCTACTCAAAGCTCTCTTCTGCCTCTTTGCCACCAGCTCTCAGCCCTCTCTGGTATTTTATATCCTTTAGAACAGAAGGATAGGGATTGTGCTATTAGACCTGAAAACTTCTTGAGTACTAAGAAGATATGGAGTAATTGTCCAGGAAAGCTTTGGGGAGAAATAACCAAATTGTGATTCATAAGAATGCACCTGGAGATAGTAGATACATGGGACAGGAAGATTGCTCCATAGCTGGAAGTCTGCCTCATGAACAAGAGGGAGAAGGCAGCTGAAATAGAGAAGAGATCACTAAGAAAATGATAGCTGAGGAACCAGTCTGGGTGGGAGATGTGTGCTGAAAGTAGATAATGGACCAAACATGATAACGTTGGTATCTGCATTACAAACCATAATGCCTAAAAGTAGAGAGAGAGTATGGGGAATATTGAGTGCCATGGAGGCAGGGAGAGGGTTGGAAAGGGGTGTATACTGGGGATATTGGTGGTGGGAAATGTGCACTGGTGGAGGGATGGGTGTTTGATCATTATGTGATTGTAACCCAAACATGAAAGCTTGTAACTATCTCACAGTGATTCGATAAATTTTTTTTAAAAAAGTACTGATATATGCCTGACTTAAGTTTAATTCCCACAGCTACATGATCCTTCAGGTATCACTGGATATAAATGGGGTCGTCTTGAGCACTTCCAGGGTAGACCCAGTAATTCCCAGCACCACAAAGTCTGTGCAGCATGTCATCCTTGAATCCTCAGTTGGCTGAGAATAGCCCAGCAACAGTCACCAATCCTCCTCAGACTGCTTAGGGACCTTCCTAACCATCACCCCCACCCCCACCAAATGCGTCTGAATGCTAATAGAGAAATTTCACATTACTAAAACTACATATTCTCTTAAAAGTCTTGAAGACTTGAGTATTATCAACAAATCACCTTAATCAACAAATATATTTACTTTTATATAACAAGTATACTTGATCACATGTCTTGTCAAGAGAATTAAAAAGAATACAAGTGCCTATATTTTATAGGTTGTTTGAAATGTAATAGCAGTTAAGCCTGGGATAAAATTCTAAAAAAAAATAATTTCAAGGCTTATAATACTTTGATATAATTTTTTTAAATGTATTTTTCTCTTTGGCTCCTGGCAAGAACTCCTAAAACCTTTGTCACTTCCTAAGAGATAAAGGTGCTTGGAGTATCTTTTGTTCTAATACTTTATCTTTAACCCTGATTTCTAATACAGAAAATTCCTAAGTCAGTTGGAATTTCCTGGGTGATATGAGTGTCTTTTGTTCTACTGAGCAACTTGGGGTGGGCTGCTGGCTAGCTTCAGAATGAGGCTGACCACCAAAAAGATCAAGCTATTATTATAAACTTCAATCTAAGCCCCTCCCCCTACCTTTTGAGACAGAAAGAAAGGCTAGAGTTAGATTTAATGAACGGTAATGCCTATACGAAAACATGCACACCATAGAACACTTCTGAACAATGGAGCTCAAAAGACTTTGGGTTGATGAACACATCACCGCCTAGGATAACGCATGCCAACTCTACAAGGACAAAATCTCCTATTCTTAGGATCCTACCAGACCTCATTCTACATATCTCTTCCTCTGCTG